TGATCTCCGTCCCAGCTAATCCAGATGTCTGAGGTGAAGTGTAAGACCACCTGCGGACCTGCCTTGTGCAGCCCCTCCCTCAAGTACTCCCTGCATGCCTCATACAGGGAGGGCACCGCCGTCCTGCTGTAGGTGGTACATATGGACACTTGGTATGTTGGGGCCACAAGTGCCATGAGCTGCCTGAACCCTGGCCACTCAACTAAGGAGAAGGGCTGGCCATCAACAGCAAGCATCTCCCCAATGCTCTGGGTGATCTCGCTTGCCTTTGCAACACGCCCCCCTTTCTGTCCACCTTTCCCCCACTGTTCTAGTGTGGCCTGCCTCTGCTTTGGGGAAGATAGGGGCTTTGAAGCGAGAGGGGGACCACCCTTTGGGCAGGCTCCCACTGGTGCCAGGCTGAGGAGGAGCAAGGGTAAGGGGGTGGTGCCTGTGGAGATGCATCAGCATCCCTGTGGCGTGCATCTGTTTTGTTCCCTTGCCCCAGCTGATTTTGGCTCAGCAGTGCAGGCAGATAGTGTATGTAGGACCATCTGCCAGCTCAAAATGATCCCAGACCATACTACCTGCTTGCTTCTGGGATGTGGGTGCATGTGTAGATGCTGCTGCACTTTCCCCCTCCTCAGCAGGCAGAGGCACAGCAACAGAAGGAACAAACTCAGCTGAGCCACATGCATCCACCATCTCTATCTCAACCTCCTCCGCAGTGCCTTCTGGGGAAGGAGACCTGGTTCTAGGGGAAACTTGAGGAGTGTGGAGCACAAACTCAGAAGGTTCCTCCTTCTCCCCAAAATTTCCCTTGCTAAGGCACTCAGCTCCAGCTCCAGCTCATCCTCTGGCACTGGAAGGCTCAGCATGGGAAATGAAAGTGGGGTGGAAGAGACTGTCATGCTGGTGCTGCTGCTTGTTGTCATGGTGGTAGTGGGGGTGTGTTATGGCTGGTGCTCTTGGAGGGGATGCAAACTCAGGCACAGGCACTGGCACTCTTCCCATCTCCTTGCTGCCTATAGAACTAGTGGAAGCCTAATGCCTGCTTGTTGTAGCAAAGAGGCTGCATCTCAGTT